TTATGTGCAATAGCTCGCAATTTATATGAGATATGTATATCGTATTTCACAAGTTTGGTTGACAAACTAACTAAAAAGGTGTTGACAAGACGAATCGATTCTTAACTTTCATAATGAAATATCATCTATTGCGCACTAACTCAGCTATCCGTAACGGGTAGACTTCAAACAATGTTGTAAGGAGAATATCTTGCAGTTTGACACATCTAATCATGATAGCATATATATGCCATATTAATGATTTTTTGTTTTAGTATAACAATTTCAGCTTCTATATTAAAATTTTTTACTAGTCTTTAACATAATATTTTAAATTTTATGGATAAGATTCTAAAATATTGTAATGTAATTCTACCTGTGAATTCATATAACCAAAACATGACTAATGAAAGTATGAATTGTGTCAATTTATTACCCTAGTCTCTAAGTAACCTAATTGCTACTCATATAAACATAAACAAATAGAAAGAAACACACCAAAAAACAAAAATAATTAAACTAAAAAATAGGTATGTGTGTGATTGAAAAGCAAATAAAAAAATAATGTGTAATTAAATCAAGTGTAACCATTGTCTACCAACAAAAGAAGCATGAGAAGTAAAAAATTAGACAATGTTGCTTGATGGTCTCTACAGTGACATATTGACACAAACTTATTTTTATAATATAGTATGTGTCATAAAATGTTGGGTCTATGCCTTGTCATGTACATGCAATCACAATTAAGCCTTTTAATTTTAATGATGATGATAAGATTAACAACTTTGAGTAGGGGTGTGTTCGTGGATAATTAAATATCTTGGCTGCTTTGGATTATTTTATTCAAAACAACTATCGCATTAAAAATGATCTTTAGCGGCAATTAATTAATAGCAATAGCTTAATTGCTACTAAATATGTACTTTTAGCGGCAATTAGCACTCTTTGTATATGTCACTAAAGTCTTTAGCGACATTGGATCTAATGTCAATTAACTAATGCTGATAAACGTTTTAACACTCTTTGTTAATGTGTATATTTATTGCCACTAAAAGATGTTTTTGTTGTAATGAACACTCACCTAATTCATGTGTCATATTTCAAATTTCAAGAGTCAAATAGATTTACGCATTTTTTCATGTATTTAAATATTTTGAATGAGAAATTACAGTGACTTATACTTTTTATGTAAATTTTACTTGAGAAAACATAAAAGTTCAAAGTCCAAATTTACCATCAATATTTTAAAGTTTGATTCTTCAAATTAGAACCGTATCACATAAATTGAGACGGAAAAAAAATTAATAAGCCCTAAACTTATAAAAAATTGTGAATTTTAACTATACTTTAAGTAGGGGTTCTCAAAGTGGCCATCGGTGCAATTTAAATTTTTCATGCCTTAGAGCATGTTTGACATTGTTGTTGGGAGGCCCAAAACACTTATTTTTAGAAAAAATTAGGGGAACTTTCACATATAGTCACTCAAAAATAGCCTAATTACTCTCCATACCTATAGTTTGATAATTACAATTCGTAGCTACATGTTATATGGAGGAGAGAGGCGAGCGAGACTGGGAGAGAGAGAAGAGAGGAGAGAAGCGAGAGAGGGGGCAAAGAGTGGGAGAAAGGTGAATTGTATATGTATATAGGTTAGATAATTGTATATTATACATATGTATTTGTATATATGGCAAGCGAGATTGAGAGAGGGAGGAGAGAGGTGAGCGAGATTGGGAGAGGGAGGAGAGAGGTGAGCGAGATTGGGAGAGGGAGGAGAGAGGCGAGCAAGAGAGGGCAGAGAGGTGAATTGTATATGTATATAGGTTAGATAATTGTATATTATACATATGCATTTGTATATATGGCAAGCGAGATTGAGAGAGGGAGGAGAGAGGCAAGCGAGATTGGGAGAGGGAGGAGAGAGGCGAGCGAGAGAGGGCAGAGAGTGGGAAAGAGGTGAATTGCATATGTATAAATGTTAGATAATTGTATATTATACATATGAATTTATATATTCTAGCGAATTTTACATATACAAACGTGGCAAATTATACAAACTCGAAGTTAGCCCGCGTAATTAATGTATAATGTTAGTCGTGAGTGGTAATTATAGCAAACTATAGCTATGATGAGTAATTAAGTAGTATAAGTTTGCTTAACCGCGTAATTTTCCCAAAAAATTAAGTGTTTGGTAAATCAATAAAAGTATTTTTAAATGGAAGAGGAAACAATTTTTCTGCGGTTGGGAGGAAGCTAAAAATTTATGTTTTTAAAAAAAAGCAGAAACAAGAAATATTTTTCTCAAGACTAAATATTCTTTTCATATATACATAATTACATATTTATCAATACATTTCTTATTAATAAATTAGCATATTTCATAAATATGGTTAAATTTCATTTAAGAATTTTATTTTTTATTTTATATAATGAATTTTATAATTTACTTTACGTTTATATATTATTATTTTACGTATTATTTTGTATAATTAGAAAAAAGGTAACAACAATATTTTTTTCAAAATTAGAAAAAAGAAGAAAAAAATAACAATTAAGATTTCAGCCTCCCAAAAATATATAATATTGATTTAAAATTTAAACATGTAAATTTTAATTTTAAAAAAATAAAATTTAATTATCTTTTTTATAATAGATATTTAAAATAGTTTTTCTCTATAGAATATTTTTAATATTAGAAGTACCTAATAGTTGCCCTTTTTTTGTAATTTGACTCTTAAGTGCACTTTTTTTTTTAAAATTAGTCAAACACAATTTGCTTATGAAAATCACTTTTCAAATAAATTAGCCAAATACGAATTTTCAAAAATATTTTTAAAAAGTGCTTCTAAAAATAAGTTATTTTTAACAGTAATGTCAACCAGACTCTTAAAATGACAATGTGCTGAGGTTAATGACTCGATCAGAATTATGCAGCCTACTTAATTGGCTTCGAATGAAATGGGCTGTAGAATTGAGAAGATTCGGCCCAATGGCCCAAGCTAGTTGGCCCAGCTTAGTTTATGTTTTCATTTTGTTTTATTTGAGGTTTCTGTAATCTGCAAAGTCAATTTCTAGAAATAGAATTAATTCAGTTATTCACAATTCTCCTCTATTATTTTATGTGTTTGCATATTATTCTTCAATAAAAATGACAAAAATGAAGGGAAGCTTACGGGTAATGATATTAAATATAAAATTATAAAATTGTTGCCTATAGTCTATCATGGTCGTCTCATTACTACTTCTGTTCAACAATACTTGGCTATTATTAATTTTGCACACTTCTTAAAAAACTATAAATATAAGGGTAATTTTACTATATTACTCTTTGAATATAATAAATATAATGTCTTGAAAAAATAGAATGGAGGAATAACTATTATTAATGATAAGGGTAAATTAGAAACTAAATGTAAAAATTATCCATTGATTTCATAAAATGGACAAGTATTATTAGACATACCAAAATAATATAGTGGACAACTATTATTGGACGGAAAGAATATTATGGAAAGATGACACTTTTTAGATAGAGGCAAAAGGAAAGATATCTCATATAAATTAGGACAGATGAAATACTTAATTTAGCTAATCCAAACAGGTTCGTTTTGGAAATTGGAATCATGGTACATGCATGAAGTGATAGAGCGATTAAAAGCAGTCAGCACATCCATAGCATTAGCGTGTTAATGAAAACTTAAAAGTGTATATACACAACGAAAAGGCTAAGAGTTTGTTTAGATTGACTTGTTTTAAATATTTTAAATGAAAATAATTTTTAAATACTTTCCTTTAAAATCCTTTTAAACACTTGCTTAAAGCCAAATAAATCAAAAGTCATAAGTTAAAGTTACTAATTTATGGAGATTAACTTGTAAGTCAAAAGCTATAAGCTCATTCAAACATGCTCTACATAGGCCTCTATGACGTTTATTTGGAAACAAATAAAGTGAGAACAGTTGGACAATTAGGTAGAGAGATTTATGAATTGAAGGTATAATTTTCACTTATTAGGTATTTAATTTGTCCCATGGCCAATTTAAAATCATTTAAAAAAAGGCAATACTTGCACCTAATACAAAAGAACAAAAAATTGACCCTTCTTTAATTTCCCATCCAATTCTGGATCCGATATTGAATTCGATTAAATTCAAAGTTCTATATACTCTCTAACAAAGACAATTACATATTCAACTTAAATCGAAAAATATTTTTTTAAAAAAATGACCTAATGCTTATGTGGCAACTATACAATCTTGCTTGGCCGCAAAGTTTGGCATCGACTATCGAATCCATGGCAGCTTTAATGCATAATCAATGTGTATACAGAGTCAGTTTTGTAGTTTTATATTCTAAGGACAAAAGGCAAATGTATTTCCAAAATTAGCTCAAGATTTTCTACAGCTCACTATCTTGTAACCCAAGACATAACAACTATCCTTCAATATAAATTAAACCAGCCATATACCATAATATACCACTAGTCGTGACATTGTCAATATTTCAAATCTTCTATTTTAGAGGACGGAGAGAAACTTTGAATTCTTAGCTTATTTGGCATTTTTGTTATGATCTTATCCATATTGTTCATGGTACACATTTCTTTGTTCCAAATCATCTATATATATATTAACTTAAAATCGCGATAGTTATTTTCGATTAGTTTAAAATAGAAGCTCCCAAAAACACGTTTTCCCATCTTAATCCAATTCCATGCAGCCAATAATTATTTTTTAGTGTTTACCTTTTCGATTTTCTGAAGAGTCATATGTACCCCCTATGCCCCTACACTTACCTATCTAATTAAGCCATTCAATTAATTACCAGAATTTTCCTAAGTATATCCTTTTTTATCAATGACTCATTCTGTTCTTTTCAAACCCTTATAAAAGCATTACTCACTCCTCATTTTTTTTTTCTGTTTCGAATTCCAGTTTTTATTCGAATATTCTTGTGTCAAATAGCTCTTTTAATAAGCACAACGAATTAATTGTGGTTTACTAAAAATTGAAGGGAAAAAAAATGTCTGGTTTTAGCAGAATGAAGAGAGTTACTGACCCGTTAGACGAAAAAATGAAGGCTCGGATTGTTGGCAGCAGCGGCAGTGAACACAGTGCTCATGCCGATGATGATGATGTTGCTTCTCCTAGTTTCTCCGATCTCGTTTTCGGTGATTTGGAAAATAATGCCGGAGATGAAATTCCGGAGAATGATTCAGATTCTGAGCTTGATGTATCAATGTGTGATTCAATTGACAGGATTGAGATAATGCCGAGCCCTGTTTTCTGCAGCGAGCTCGATTTGTTTCGTAATGTGATTGTATCTTGTGTTGCGAAGGGATTGGAAGTGTTTTCGTGCTTTAAATCGAATAAATCGATGCTCCAGAGGAATGTAATGGCGTACCTGAGGAATTTCGGTTACAATGCGGCGGTTTGTAAGACGAAATGGGAGAGTTCCGGTGGACTTGCTGCCGGTAATTATGAGTTTATTGACATAACGAAATCGGATTCCGCCAATCGGATCACTACTCGCTACTTCATCGATCTCGATTTTAAAGCAGAGTTCGAAATCGCGAGGCCGACGATTCAGTACGAACGGTTATTACAGTCATTGCCGAATATTTTCGTTGGCAAAAGTGAAGAACTAAAGCAGATTTTAAGAGCAATGAGCGATGCGGCGAGACGATCGTTGAAAAGCAGAGGCCTCACGTTTCCGCCATGGAGGAAACACCGGTTCATGCAGAATAAATGGTTCAGTTCGTACAAAAGAACAACAAACATCATACCGACGGCGAGCTCGCCGGCATGGTTGTCACCGTCAAAGGAGACGAATGCGGTAAAATGCCGGACCGTCGGGTTTCACACTACCGCCGTGAACAGCTGCCTGTTGTTTCCCGCGACAACTCGTACTAGATGATTAGACGAAAGATAGCAATAATTAATCAAATTTTGAAAATAAAGTAATAGATCCATTTATTTATTTTTCTGTTTCATCTCATATTACAAGTACATGTATTTGATTGAATGTAACATTTGAAAAGCCAATGAGTTCGTCTCGAATATACTGAACATGTTATTATTATTAAATTGTGATTGTTTATTTGCAATGTGTAATGCGACGAATGCACATTGTGTGCATACATAGCCTAGTTAAGATTTCACGTGCCATAGATATGGGCAAGGAGCATTTTTTATAAGATAAATTCAGTGGTCAGAGCAGGCAGCGTCGTTGACAACATGGAAAATCCAGTTTCAAAATTCGGACGGCTTGATTAAAAATATTAAAATACGATATCGACGGGTTGACGACGCAGTATTTGGTGGAACATAAATACACTTGTCCGTTATTATATTATGAAAAATAATATCCTGAACCACCTTACTCATTGCTTTAAAATTTTGAATTATTGAAAATTCAGATTCATTCATATTGCCATTTTTCAATAGTAAAAGTGTCGTTAATCTGACAAATCTTAATTGATCAAATAAGTAAGTTTGGACATTTGGACATTGAATGATTAAAAAAAAGTTAATATCGAGGACAAGTGGCTTATATCAGTACAGTATTTAATAAGACTGAGTTGGAGGAAATATTTAATATATATATATAAAAAGGTTTGTTGAATGGATAATGTGTTTTTCAAGAGATCCGATAGGGCAATAATATTTATTTTAATATATTTTGTCCTTTCAAGAAGATTTGTTTGTTCTTTGCAGGCTTGACTTTAGGGTATTTGTAGAAGCTCAAAGTGCCCTTACTAAAGTTCTTATAGCCTCTCTTTCTTTCTTTTTTGAGGGGTTGGGTTACGTAAAGGGTCAAAATGTAAGGACTTTATGACGCTTTATTTTTTGTTTATTTATTTACAAGTTGTATTCTTTTCGGTAAAAATTTACTTGAATCAGATATTTATATCTATATATAATAAGCACAATGCAACTATCATTGTAACTATTTTGTTAGCTTTTCAACCAAAAGCTAACAAGATTTTTAATTACATATTTATTATTTAGTTATGTAATAAATATGTCATTGTATGAGCTATTTATTACTCATTCCTTTTGAATTTGTTAAATTTACTTTACGCAAGTAAATTAGATTTTGAGAAAAAACATTAAGTGATACTTGAAGTTATCCCAGATTTTCAAAAAGACACCTTAATATATATATATTGTTCCTCCCTAAGGCTGAAGATCGCAACCTTCACTTAAGACTATTAATGGAGTTTTAAGAAGAGAGGTATAAAAATCAACTTTTTATTTCATACCATAATTTTTACAATCTCACCATACATATTATACTTATATATATATATAATAATAATAAGCCACAATGCAACTATCATTGTAACTATCTTGTTAGCTTTCAACCAAAAGCTAACAAGATATTTAGTTACATATTTATTATTTAGTTAAATAATAAATATGTCATTGTATGAGCTATTTATTACTCATTCTTTTTGAATTTGTTAAATTTTGATCTGACACATACTTTACGAAAGTAAGTTAGATTTTGAGAAAAAACATTAAGTGATACTTGAAGTTGTCCCAGATTTTCAAAAAGACACTTTAACTTTGCATGCGTCCTATTATCCCACAAAACATTCAAAATCACAATAAATACACATTTTTTACACAATATTTCCACTTTGGACAAAAATATCCTTCGAATGTGCAATTTCTTAAAAACAAAAAGTCGGACCCATTATTGATGTATTGAAGGATGCTTTGGTAATTTCCTATGATGAATTCGTTTTGTTTGTTTCTTTTAAATTTATTTTACTATACTAAATAATTCTATAAAATACTATGAATCACAATAATTAATTACTTAAATATTTAAAAGATATAAAAATATATAAAAGATCTGATTGACTCTTCAAATTTTACCGGTGACACATAAATTGGGACAAATGAAATAATATATATTATTTGAAAATTTAGTACTATAAATTACAGTAATTAACAGCTAGAAATATTTCAAAGACAAAAAAAATTGATTGAATCTCAAATTTTTTTTAGTACTACATAAATTGAGAAAGAAGAAATGACCTATATTATTTGAAAATGGCGTAAAAGTATTACAAATCATACAATAAGAATTAACAATTTAAAATTTTAAAACACTTTAATGCTTTATACTTATTCTATTTCCACTTTAGACAAAAATATCCTCCCAATGTGCATATTTTTTTAAACAAAAAGTGGGACCCATTATTGATGTATTCAAGGATGCTTTGGTAATTTTCCTATGATGAATTCGTTTTGTTTGTTGTTTAATTTTTTAAAAATAATTGTATAAAATATTATAAATCACAAGAATTATTTACTTAAATATTCAAAAGATATAAAAATATGTAAAAGATCTGATTAACTCTTCAAATTTTATCGGTGACGCATAAATTGGACAAATGAAATAATATATATTATTTGAAAATTACTTAGAAAGTACAATAATTTACAGTAATTAACAATAGAATATTTTAAAGACAAAAAAAATTGATTCAATCTCCAAATTTTATTAGTACCACATAAATTGAGAAAGAAGAAATAACCTTTATTATTTCAAAATTGCGTAAAAGATATTACAAATCATACAACAATAATTATCAATTTAGAATGTTAAAAGACATAAAAAATTTTTTACCATAGTTAACAATAATTAAAAATTTAAACTATTTTAAAAATATTAAAGTTTGATTAACTCTTTAATTTTGTTTTTGTCACATAAATTGAAACAAAAAATGATACATATTAGGCCCGTGCTAGCACCGGCTCCAATGTCTAGTTGAATCAATATATGTATATTGAATTTGAATGTACTATTTTTCCACTTCATTATATTACTTGATCATGAATAATTTTATTGATTTGATGTGAATACTCAGTACCAATACGTTTATACCCTTTTACAATTTGTATAGAGATAGCTGTATTGCTTCTGTTCAAGATATAAATATTGTTTCTTAATTTATTTATTTATTTATTTGTTGGTGGATACCTCCTTGCATGTGGCAAAAGTGGAATAAAAGTGCCACTTGTCTCCTTGTTGTGGTTTATTTCTAATTGATAATAAACGTGTTGTTTCTTTAATTTTATTTATTGTTGCATCAGTTTATGCTTACAGATAAAAAAATTCATTCTTTTTTTAAAAGGAAAAAAATCAATTCCTTTCTTGTCATGTTAAGAATTGAGGTCTCACAATCACTAGTCAATATGCTTTCTCTCATACCTTTCTTTCTTCATTCATGGTTCGATATTTTGATGTCTTAAGCGTAGAGGGACTACTCATGGATAGTGAATTGTCTAAGTAAACTGAGATACGCCGGACATTGAGTTGAGGCTTTGCTTTCAGAGTAAATTGGAATCAATGGAAAGGGTTAACTGCTGGAGTTGAGTTAATAACAGACACAAAATGTCAGGGAGTAATTGTTTTATTACATTGGTGGTGTACAGAGCCAAACTGCATGCACCTTGAAAATTTCAAGGGGAGCCTACTACCTTCCAACACAAGTATTGAGTAACCCTATCCACCAAGCCTAAGACATACGAGAATCACCTAATATTTTTGCCTCCAATAAAATTTGAATGTGAGAGACCTCAATGATTCTCCATCCACTTCATTCTTGGTCATTGGGGTATAGAGTGTAGCTTTATCTCTCCCCTTTTGTGCCTATATTGATGGTGAGCATGTTGCAAAATTAAGTTAGAAGCTAGTTTAAGTTTTTCAAATTCTTCACACAAAAGCTAGCTTTATCAAAAAAACTATTGTTTCATTTGATCAACAGTATATCACTGTAACATCTTACAAAAAACTCGTGATGGTTTGCTGTACAATTAATGTACAAAAGCACTACACTGTACAACTGAGGTTAACATGAATTACGTAGGAAACCATGTTAATATTGAATCATATTGGAAGCAGTTAGCCATATGACTACCACCAAAAGATGCGTCCTCCCGCCCCTCTGGCTCTGTTCTTGGTTTCACTAGCACCACCAAGGACATGTGTCCTGTATGCCCAACGAAAAATTTACTGTATCCTGTATGCCCAGCCATGCCTATCCAAAAATGCCCTCACAGATTCTTTTATGGCCAGGTTTGGCACCAACTGGGACGGCAAAAGTGGTTCTCTTGTGATTGGATCAAAATTGCCCACCTAAATTGCCAAGCACAGGATAAGGAACATAAATTAACAAATCCAATGGAAAACAAAGATGAAATGAGGGAGGAGAAACAAATTTACCTTTTGCAAATGCTCAAGGATCACAGCCCGCTCATATGTAAACCCACTCGGAGTAATTACAGGGTCACGAAAAATATCAAGAGTAATTTTACAACACAAGTAATCAGGAACCTAGGAATTTTGTTAAGTGTCAAAGGTTAATACAACATACTTGCTTACAAAAGGGAGAATTGACTAACATGATAATTGCTTGAATGCTCACCTCAGTTGGAATATCATCGGCTGCAGCTTTCATGAAAACCTCACCTAGAGATTCCAGTTGCTTCAAAAGCGCTGTTGAGTTTTCATCTTTGAGCCCTTCTGTCTGACAACTGTCAAGCATATGTGTCTCCTTGAGAGCTGACTCACAGGATTCTCTGAGGCGCATACACAAGAAAAATTATGGGGAGACAACCTATATAGTTGGTATAACAATCCAACAAAAGTAACAGAAATTTATAAGCAACATTAGAAGAGCCATTACTTCAAGTTCTGAAGCTCCCAGGAGCGCCTTGTAGATTCATGCTCCCACTCCATGTACTTTGCTTTAGCAAGCTCTTCCCAGATCTCTTCAACAATATATCTTCCTGGATTCGCACCTCTTCCAAGGTCTAATGCCTGACAGGATACATAGAAGATACATAGAAGAGAACTGTATCATCATAATTAAGCAGAGCAAACTTCCCTAAAATCATCATTTCAAC